GTAACGGGCGCGTCGCGCAGCCTCGCGAATTCGCGCGAGGAAACGTGCCAATCTCGTCGCCGCCTGCCGCCTGTCTCGCCAGCCGTCCTCGCGTACATATTTTGTCGCGCGCACACGAGCGTGTGCGTGCGTGCGTGCGAACGTGCGAACGAGCGAGCGATCGGGCGAGCAACGATCGAGCCTTAGCTGGCTAGTCGATTGGCGAGGTTGAACGAACGTGATTCACGAACGTACGAATTTGCGAATGCGCTCGCGACGCCCCGCGCGTACGACGATCTGAAAGCGAACAACCAAGTGTGCCTCGAGAGCTTTTAGTCGAGAAACCGATCTGCACGAGGCCGTTCGAGAGAAAGAGAAAGAGAGAGAGAGAGAGAGAGAACGAGCTAGCTAGCGAGCGAGCAGGCAGGCATCTCGTAACGCTAGATTCAGGGCACATGGGACCATCCGGGCCCGTCTTGAGATGAACGGTGATTTCGGTAACGACCATCCATCCCATTCATCCAACGCAACATCATCATCACCATCATCATCATCATCATCATCGTCGATGTTACACACGATCGAATATACGAGTGTAGTTTTGTCATCGCGCCGCTTCATCCTCCTTCGTCATCATCACCACTTCCTTATGTTGGTGTGTCTTTCCATTCCGCGTGTTAAACTCGCGCCGCGCCAACACGTTGTCGTCGTCATCATCATCATCGTCGTCATTGTCGCCGTCGTCGCCGTCGTCGTCCTCGTAATTGTCATTGTCATGTTTGTCATCGTCATCGTCGTGCTTGTCGTCGTCGTCAAGTCGCAACTATCGCTGTAGTCCGAATAGTAGCGGGTAGCGGGTAGCGGCTCGAGGTCGTATCGTGTACCGACCGCGCTATATTTGGCCGATAACGCGCCGCGCGCTCCGCAACATATTGCGCGTCCTGCCGTGCAGGGATCATCGTCTGGCGCGCCGCGAGCCGCCCCGAACGGCCGTCGTCGTGGCACGCAGTCCGAGGACTCCGTTGCCGAGGACCGTCGTGGCCCCTTGTACCGTCGCGACAGCCGACATTGTTTCCGTATCGTAATCGTCGTCCTCGCGCAATTTTCCTTCCGTTCTCGTGACTTCCTCCTCGGCTTCTCGAATCTCGCGAAAGCTCGCACACGTTGTCCACGAGAGATCGAGTACTTGTAATTTTTGTCGGTGAATGTGCGGTTGCACGGTGCGTAGAGTAGTGATGTGTAGACACATACGGATTCGAGTCGAATGATTCCACTGATGGTTGCGTTGATCTGTTACGGAATATTATTGTGTCGTTGTCATGATATTTTACGAAAGTCAAGGAGCTATCGATGTTGTATAGACGGAGCATTGTAGCTTACTAAGCATACTGCCGGTCAAAGTACATATGTATGGTACAATTAGTATTCCAAGCGGCATTAATATTCTGTAGAGAAAAATTAGGTATAGAATGACTCTCTACTGAATGCAATATGAAATAGTTGCGATATCTTATGTACTTACATAATTGATCTATGCAAAGACCAGTCATTTTACATATAGAGTCATGATTGAGCATTGCTCAAGCGACGTGTTAAATTGCAAGTATAATCATGTAAAAATGATATATTTTATATAATAACTGCACATGTATTTTATTACTTCAGATTAGGTTAGAATTATAGAAATGTGCTATTCCTAGATTTCCATTGATTTAGATTATATATTATACAGTGATTTATAATATCGCGGAAAGATGGGAAAAACAAAAAGGGTTTTGTCCTTGCTTTTATTTAAAGTAAATTGTTACTTTACAGAATACTTGGTTACATTAACAAGTTTTATCGCTACTGCAACAAATCGTTTTCTTAATTGTAACATATGTATCAACTTTGAGGCAGTAAATAGAGATGAAGTATTGCCAGAATTATAAATGCCGCCTCTCTATTTGCAGGGTACGTTTACATGAATGGGGACATCGGGAAGCTGCCACCAGGGGCGGTCTACCCAGCCACCCCTGAACCTCTGGGTCTACAGGTTGCAGGAGCAATTGGCGGTGGAGTGCCTAATATAGACTACGGAGTCATGAACGGTGCGCCAAGTGGCAGTGAACTGATTCTTGATGCTGGCGTCGGCAGCCTTGAACCATCTCCTCAACACGCCATAGGCATGCATGGAGGCGCCATTGGATATAGCCCAGTGGATGTTGCTGCTTTGAGCGATGCTTCTGCCGCTCCGCCACCATCTGCATCAATGGCTGATCTAAATGTTCCCGGTATACCCTTGGAACAGCTCAAGCAGATGCTCTCTTCGCAACTCGAGTATTACTTTTCCAGGTAACAGAGCTTTTAACATCCTGAAGCTATAAGATAATTTTACAAATATATTTGCATTAATTATAAAAAATTTTTAATATCACATATAATTTCTCAAAAACCAATCTTTGATTGCATATACATGTAATATGTTTATATATACATAATGATTTTTTAATATTCTATGTAAAAGCAGTTATTACTAACCTAAAATCATTATAGCAACATCTGTTAGGTAAATTCTTGGTTAAGTAGAAAGAAAAAAAAAGTATTTATTAGAAATTTAGTCAGCTTATGATAATCTTTCATGCACCCTGATATATAAATATATATTGATGATATTAGTTAAATAATATTGTAATCACAAAATTAATTTTTTAGAATTATTTTGTGTACATTAGTTTTGTTTTCTTAAGGTAGAACAAAAGTTGGAACATAGGCATACAATCTCTTAAGTAGTAAGCTTTATATAAATTATTATGTGTGAAAAAATCTGAGACAGTTTTTGTCTCAAATTTTATTGCCATTGCAATTAACATTCAAATTACATAACCATATGTATATATAAGAGTACAATATAACAAGATATGTGATAATGCAAACGGACAATGGTAATGCAATGGTTTTTCCAGAGAGAATTTAGCCAACGATACCTATTTGTTGTCACAAATGGATAATGATCAGTATGTGCCGATATGGACAGTAGCGAATTTTAACCAAGTCAAGAAACTGACGAAAGATATCAAGCTCATAACAGAGGTGCTGAGGGAATCTCCCAATGTGCAAGTGGACGAGGAAGGACAGAAAGTAAGACCCAATCACAAACGATGTATCGTGATACTTCGCGAGATACCAGATAGTACTCCATTGGAGGATGTAAAGGTATGCCAGTCGTTATTTTATAATTTTTGCAAAAAAAGAAAAACTAACAATAAACTCGGTTCTAATATATGCTGATTTTCACTGCAGAATTTATTTTCCGGAGAGGGATGTCCGAGGCTTATTTCGTGCGAATTTGCTCATAATAGTTCGTGGTACGTGACATTTGAATCCGACGACGATGCTCAAAAGGCCTACCGGTTTTTACGCGAGGAAGTTCGAGAATTTCAGGTAAATTATTTTATATAACTATAAATGATGATGCAATCAATGATTTTCATGATCTATTGAGTCTATAATTGAAAATTTATAATTATATATAACAATAGATTAAAATTTATAATATTTTTACTTTGATTTTTGAATCTAGGGAAAGCCAATAATGGCGAGAATTAAAGCTAAACCAATGAATAGGCTACCTATACCAGCGGTTGGTGTAGGTGGTATAAAGAATGGCTATAGAACTCCACCCCCTCCTCCTGTCTACGATCCGAGCAGTTATACGGCTGGACAGCAACGTTTTCTCTATACCAATGGCACGACCATGCCTCAAACGACTATGCCGGCATACCCGAATCAGGTTGTTTACGTAAGTATACTGTTTTAAGTTCTTTGTGCAACATTTTATATGGACTTCTACAAATCGATTTAAAAATATTTCCGTTTATTTATCTTTCAGCATCAACCATTCTATCCCGCCGGTATGATGCCTTGGGGACCAACTAGTCCCGCTTATTTCGATATGTCCAGTGTTTTTACGATGAACGGAATCACACCGCACAACACGTTTACTCGTTCAAACACAAGATACAATCCTCGCCACAGGTACGCTGTTTAACATCCAATTTGCAATTTAATTATTTTTGCGAATATATTATGTTTTACGAAGAAAGATATTTCAGTGTCTAAATTCTTTTTTTCTTTTTTTGTTGTTATATAGAAATAGACAGAGAAACGGCTCCGATCGAAGCTGCTTGATAGATCCCGCCAATCCCAGCAACAATAATAACAACCATCATCATCATCATCACCATCATCACCACCATCATCAGCCGTCGTCCATGCCGCCGCTGAGCAATCGTAGCTCTCATCCCCCTATGACCGGGGGCGGCGGCAACATGTCTCTAAGCTCCACGTCCACCTATCACGCTTCGAGCCTGCCTTCCTCGAAGCCGCCCTCCTCGTCGTCCTCTTCCTATCAATCCGGCACAAAGTTCCATTCCTCGTCGTCTGCCACGTCATCCGTCGAGCACGCGAAGGGATCTTCCTCTTCCTCGTCGTCCTCCGCGCAGGACCAGGATACGGCAACGGCGACAGTCGAATCCTCCTCCTCCTCCATTTCCTTATCCTCGGCGCCTTCGTTTCCCCGCCACCGTATCCATCGCAGGACCAAAGATCAGGATGCGAAGGTAGCTGCTGGGAATAATCACTCGTTGCCAGCGATCAAGGAATCCTTGCCGGCAAGCGGAGGCAGCAGCAACAGCAACAGCAGTAACTGCACCAGCGGCGGTGGCCGCAGTAGTGGCGTGCAGTTCGATCTTGAGGCGGCCGCTTTCCCGCCCCTGCCCGGTCTTGACGCCGATCACGGCAAAGTATCGACTGATATCGGCGGTAGTGGCACTGGCATCGTCGAGTCCTCGTCGCAAAATCGATTGTCCGATGTCGTCAAGGGCACTGCTAAGCTCAAGGCTGTCGCCAAGGACAAGGAAAATAGCAACCAGCAGCAACATTCTCAACTGCAGCAGCAGCAAACCGCAGCACTTCCGCAGTCAGCGATCGCGACGGCTGTCGCCAGTAGGTCCGCTAGTCCTGGGGCGAGTACCGGAGCGGATGTACAAGGAAACGCACTAGGAAATGCCACGTCGACGAATTCTTCGGGTGCCGCACATACCCTTAATTCGGCGACGGTCAACAACGAGAATACGTCATCGGTCGATGCTGCCACCGCCGCGCTCAGCACCGTCATCGCGCTCACTCCCCCGTCATCTCCTGATAAGTGAGTGGGATTTTTAATTATACGCTCGTTCGGTGTAACGATGTTTCGGGCAGTTGCGGAGAGTTGCGTTGGTTCGCGAATTGACTTGCGCTGGATCGAACAACAAACTGGTTGCCAATCTGCATTGGAGATGTGTTATGATTTTTAGAAGAAGAAAGAGGTCCTTCGATGGATCTCCATACACATCTTTAACCGACGAAATAATGTATAGTAGTTCGTCGTGAAGTGTAGAAATGTTTCGGTCAAATCTTCTTTTTTTAGATTTTCCAACGATGTTGCCATCCTTTACTTATTTGATACGTACGTATGCGTACGAAGAGAGCCAAGAAGCGTCGGTAGAATCCATTTTTTTTTTCTTTTTTTTTAGGAAATTATAGCTATTTAGCTCTCAATTGCGAAAGCGAAAAAAACGGCTGTTTTGTTCCAAAGTACGACGAAACTTTCCGCTCTCCCAATACAAAATATATGTATATAAATGTATATGCTCGTTATCGCGCAAAGAGAGAGAAAGTGAAGTTTTTGGTCCTTGAATCGCGTTAATCTTTTATAGGACCGTTTTAGTTTAATTTTATATTCAAAATTATTTTAGTTTTATCTCTTTTTAAACTGATTTTTTCATTTCTTGCTTCTAATAACGTTTCTTTGAAAAATATTTACGTGATTAAAAATAAAGAAAAATAAAAAAACGAGATTTCGCGCATTAAAAACTAGTGAATTGTGTTGCTATGTCGTCAAATCCTTGTGTTGGGAATTACGGCTTTCTTCCTTTTTTTTTTTTTTTTTTTTTTAATAGATAAGTGTGATAGATAAAAATAGATAGAAAAAGAAAGATAGATAAAGTGTGCTCGCGTTTTCGATTTGGGTTATTCTAAAATCATGTAACTTGAAATTTTGATACGACGATAAATTACGCAAAAATTTTGCTTAATGATAAAAAGCGTTTAATATTTCGCTGAGTAAATAAGCAAACTTTTTTCGTTTACACGGTCGGAAGTTGACTTTCCATTGCTTTTAGTCCTGTAAATGGTTATGACAGTTTTACTATTTTTTTGCACTTTTTGCGAGAGGGATATATGTACAGTGTCTTATATATATTATGTTTGTATCTAATCACATTATTATTAATTGATACCTGACGCATAGAAAGCAGACGCGCGAGTTATATGGGGTCATATAATATAGATTCCATTTATATGAGAAATTCAGCTGGATTCTCTCTCTGTTAGGGTTTCTTGGAATGCCTGTGTTGTTGGATTTTTATATCCTTGGATCAGAGTGGACCGTTGTATCCTTGGATCTTCCAATACTCCTCATTTGATTCTTTTACACATCTCGAATTCTTCCACCCTGAACTATTTTTTTTGTATCTTTGGATCTTTAGACTTTTTAAAGATCTTTAGTTTTTCACTCAGAAGGATTTATTGACACGATAGTGCAAGAAAAAAAAATCTAAAGATCCAAGGATACGCATTATGATGTCCGTACGAACTTTATGTAGGACTCCCTTATAAATTGGGATATCGTAATATATGCCTTGAGGAATGACGAATTGTGTTTCATTGTTGTTATTGTGTTATTGTTGGCTGCATTATGTGCTATGTTGTTCTGTAGCGAGTGATGGATACGCGTTTCCTCCTTCGAACCAATCCTTCCTTCCCGGTCTGAGATACCGATCGGGTCCGATTGATCGCATGCTGTCGATCGATCTGTTACCTGGAAGGAAGAAGGAGAAATCTTTTCCTTTTTTTGTCGAAAAAATATAAAAGGTTGTAGCTTTCTTTTTTTCATCGCCATAGTTAATCTCGAGTTAAAAGGACATTACTAACCGTTAATACCTTTCGAGTTATCGGAGTAGTCTTATCCGCCTGCATTCTCGCCACTTTTTATTTTCAATACATGCGTATGTTTTATTGTGGGGAAATTATTCACGATTAGAGAGAGAGAGAGCCAAGGATCTAAGTATAAGTATGACTCGAGATTCAAGATTACGATTATTATTTTAATCCCGCATAGATTTTCCAAATTTTTGAGACTCGGTATGATTCTTTTCGGTCGTTCTCTCTAACGAGAATTGGGACAAAGATATTTTTATCGAGGTTTTTTTTGGATTCTCTCGAAAGGCTTTTGAATTTTCGAGTTGTTAGATCTTTGGCGAGCCTCTCGTCTTATCGTTTATATTTAGTTAATAAATTAATTAATTATATATACTCGCAATTATGATTTGCCATCTTTCTCTTATCGATACTTTGATACGTTCATTATTGTGCCTTTCTGATTCTGTTTCCAGAAACCTTTTTTTTTTATTCATGTATAAGGGCTTTAAATATTGTCTTTTTTCGTAAGGATTCTATAAGCATGCTGTATAAATTTGGTATGTAAATAAGGGTTTAAGTTTGCGGTATCATGGATTCTTTTAGATGCTTAGTTTTTGAAAGTGCGTAGATTCTTTCATTCCTGAATCATTGAAGTGCTATTTTCAATCATTCCGGATAGACTCTGCTGTCATTGAGTCATCTACGTATTCGAGCCTTGGATTTAATAGATTATTTTATAGTTTAATCATTAAGTATTGAGACTTGTGTACCTTTGGCATATTTGGTTGCATTCAGGATTCTTGAATGTCGTTGACATTTATTTTATTTCCTCATATCTTGCATTTTTATTTGCAAAAATTCTTTTTTTACAAATTATTTTTAAGAAATTTCAAAATTGAAAGATTTAAAAATTTCGAGTTTAAGGGCTTGGAGAACAAAGCTAAAGATGTCCAAGGACTTCTTGAAAGGCAATCCTGTCTAAATCAAGTTATATATATATTTGAAGTTTTCTCTAACAATATCTAATCCAAGGATTTGCGAAAACCTAAGGATTCAAGCATATCAATGATCGAGGGATCTAAGAACTATTTCTTTCGATACGATTTCAGCACGCCGCATACCTTCGATTGAAATTAGCATTAGATAGCTATTGCTACAGCGCACTAGAATGCTATATGTGTGTGCGGGAATGTATGCGGTATCATTTATGGTATGTTTCTTCTTGCCTGTACTTTTCTTGTTGCGGCAAATAAACGATAAAGAAAGTTAAATAGGGGTATATATGATAAACAATATTATTTTTCAGGATTTTTATTTTTTTTTCTAGTATATTACGATTACTATTTGATTATTATATTATTGCTCTATTGTCATTCTTCTTCTTATTATTATTATAAATTTTTAATATTATTAAGATATATAATTATTATTAATTATTATTGTTCGGTTTCAAGTTACTCTTAAAGGCAATTTGATGATGAAGTTTCTCTAGCTCATAATTCTAACGTTACTAGTTAAGTTGTAATGCTCGTCACGTGATTTTGCAAAATAAATATAAACAGAAGAAACGAGAAAACACACGCGGTCTCAGCATGGCATCTGATCGACCTTTGGTAATGACTATAGTTGCATTGTCAGCGATGAATTAGAAATTAATAAACAATGTGTATACTGATGTTTGTTAATCGTGTCTTGCGATATTGCAACAATCCTTCTCTTTTGCATATCCCTCGATCGTTGCGGGCGGTTCTTGCAAAATAAATTTTCATTGTTAAATCACGATATTATGTATAGAGATAATACAATCATTTTTTCTCTAATGTCTTGGTCTTTAAATTCAACATTGTTCGATTTTTTGGATAATTGAAACGATATTTAAGTTTCTTTGTGATTTAAAATGTCAATTCTTGCTTCTTCTTGGCTTGCTGGATGGCCAAGTTCTCGAAATTCTTTTGAGTGATTCACCGGTTCGAGAATCGCCTACACGAAGTTTAGTTTCCTCATTGTGCATGAACGAAGTTGATATGCGGTGCGAGATTAACAGTTATTAGCGTGTGTTTAGTATGTAATGGTGCACGTAATATAGTTCGCATTATGTAGCAAATTAGCGCTAATTTTGATCCTTCCGTTTAAAAAAAAAAAAAAAATGCATTTTTATATAAAAATCAACGTACTTTATAAATTTTGTACAACCACGCACGCACATACACATACTCTCTCGCGTCTGTTGGCGTGTCCAAAGATCTAAAGGATATAAAAATTTAAGAAGCTTGCGATTTTGAAAAAGAGAAACCAGGATATCTAAAGTATTCAAGGATAGATATTCTCGAAGATCTTTCCAAATATTTCATCCTCGTATTCTCGAGGACAAGACGATGTTGAAAGATGTACGGAAATATCTATTCCTGAGGATTCAAAGTGTCCGAGAGGATATCTAAGGGGATATCTCGTAGAGACGCTGAGGATAGTTACAGTAAGCATGTGTTTAGCCCTTTATTACTGACAATGCACATGCCGCTGACAGATCTATAAAGACTGACGACTCGAACATGGTGAACGGTATGGACGACGCTGTAGTCGCGAACGCGCACCTGCCGGCGACGGGGGCGATAACGACGGCTACAACGACCACGACGACGGCAGCGGCAGCAACGGCGACGACAGACGATGCTGAGCCGATGACCAGGTGCGATTGCAACAACGTCGTCGTCGTCCCTCCTCCTACTGCCTCACAAAGCTCTCAATCGCAGACTGGACTGGCCTCTGCCTTCCCTATAGTAAGTATCATACTGTTTCCGAAGAGGAGAGTTTATCGTTCGTTTATGTTTTTGAGCATTTAAGAATTTTGAAAGATATTTAATCTTTAAGAATATCAATGTGTTGAAACATCCAAGAATTTAAAATTTGAGGAAATGCCAAATATATATGAAAATAGATAGAGAATAAATGTTTAAAGATTAAAAGATTCTAATAATACACACATTGTTATATCTAAAAGTCTATGCAAATGTATAAGTATTCATTGAGCTATTTGTAAAATTTTCAAGGTACAAATAGTAATCATTGGGTGCTTATAGACGTAACATTTCTATAATGTGATAAATATATTAAATCCTTCTGTCTTAAATCTTATATTATTGAGAGATTTTGCGTTATATTTATTCTCTTACACTATGTTCAGATAATTAATATTCTTAAATTCCGCAATCTAATAAATATTGGGTTCACGACAGGATCATACGAGGCCAAGCTATGCCCAAGTAGCGCAACATTGCCGCGAGCTACCATGTACAAAACACAAAACAGACGAGAGGGACAGAAATGTTTAAAAATTCTGCACACGTGAGTATTCAAACAACTTTAATATAAACTTCTCTCTTTTAAAGAAGCTATATATACGGAGAAAAAAAAAGCTGAAAAGTTTAATATTATATCTATATATTAAAGGAGAAAAGATCGATTGTACAAAATGGTCAAAGAATTTTTCAAGAACATAAAGAATAGCCAAATTAAATGCTGACATATCTTGGCGAAATGTTAAACTTTTCAGCAGACGTCCATGTGTATAACTGTCTTTTTATGATGTAAATTCTTTTATTGCTATCGCGCATTCTCAGAACGTTAAAGCATGATCTGGATCCTCGGATTTTCGAAAATCCTTCCCAGGCATTCACAGATATCTTCCGAACCCCATCGCGATCCATCCATGAACTGATCCTCGAATCGATGTAAGACAATCGGCCGAAAGCGTCGAAAGTATCGTTTCTTCATTAAAAAAAGAAAAAAAGACCCATCTACAAGAGCATGTATCTTCTGTTCCCTTATGTACCGTGAAGGTGACGGAAGAGAGGAAAACATACCTAAACGGCGAAAGCGGCTTAGATATAGCGAAGCAAGACGCCAAAATCTACGGATTACCACACCCGCGACAACGGGATAAATAAACGATATTTAGCTGCTCTACGATGTCATCGCCATTTTCTCGGGGTCGGGATCGGATCGAGAATCAGGATATCGGAGCTCGAGGCTGCTTTCACTTACCTATCTACTTCCCCCCCCCCCCCCCGGCACGCCCCCCTCTCGGATCGACGCCGTCACGTGCTGCAGGCGCGTGAGGAAGAGATAACTTTTTACATTGTACAGTGACGTCTCGCCTACGATCAACGATCGATCGATCGACGAATCGATCAAGAAAGAATGAGAAAAAGAGAGAGAGAGAAATAGTGTGTGTGAACGTGTGTGAGACTCGCCGCGCGCTATTATAGCGGCGCATTCGCAGGCGCTATTATTATACAGGGTGATCGGAGAGTCCCGCGGGACATGTTTATCGCCGCGGTTTGATGATGTTGATTGGATATTTACCGATATTTGCAAGTCGGCATAATTGTTTTTTATTCGCTTTATTGCAATTTGAGATGCAATTGATTTGATTGTAATTTATTCCTGACTGTAGGATACGAGACGATTTTAGGGGCTTGAAGATCTAAGCGTTAACTAAGATTTAAGAAACTGATGATTTAGACATCCGCGTTAAGCGGACGGGGGATAAAAACGTTCGGTGATTAAAGTCAGAAGAACGAGGCTACGTGCCATGTCTCGCCAGCGAGAAATGCTGGACCGACAAAAAGAACTATGTAATAAGAGCCCGATGAGGCAACTATCTTTCAAGGATCGAAAAATCTAAGAAATTGAAGGCTTGAGATTTTACAGGAACGTGTAAATGTAAGAAGTTTAATGAATGAAAAAAATGATGATTTAAACATTTATCAATTTATAAACCTTTACGAGTTTCGGATAGACAGAAGTTTTGAATGTATATCTAATGTTTAATAAGATTTAGTTTTAAGACTTCGTTAGTAATTGGTAAGTTAAGGATTCTTAATTAATAACGAGTATATATACATATAGAGAGATATCTAAAAAAAAAGAAACTTACGAGTCTAAAAAAATTAATAAACGATATATATATATATGTGATATACATGATATATATACATGATATATATATATATATATATATATACATGATCGAAATATAGTTCGGAAAAAATGCAGGGGCGTATTGTCAAACGAAGTATCATTCTTTTAAATGCTAAATTTTTCTCTCGACAGCACCAACCGTATGGCTGCGCGGCTTCCCGATCACCTGGTACATTTGCGTGAGAGAAGAGTATTGTTATATATCGCTTTTGGTTCTGTGATTGAGGTACATATTTGTTAGCTTGTATAAAAACGCGTTAAAAGAGATAAGATACATTAATCTTTTAAAAGAACCCCTTCTCCCGCCCCTCCTTTGCGCGCGCAGGGCCGTAATATTGTAACCAGAAAGAAAACATGTCTATATAGATATATATATATATATATATATATATATACATATATATATATATTTGTGCCAAAAACATACATACATTGCTTGACGAAATCTCCCGATATGCAACGAATTGGACGCCGAAGTCAGTACCGAATAGAGATTCTCGCCAAGTAGAAAGCGCGGTGGAAAAAAAAATCCCTTCAAAAAAAAATTCTCTCTTCCACGCCCCTAATTTTTTTGTGAAAAAAGAAAATTACGATAAGAGGAAAACGAAGAGATCATATCTCGCGAAGCTATAATTTTATGTGCGAGATTATAGATGATTTAAGGGATGATAGCGATGATGAAGGATGATAATAATGATAAGGAGGAGGTGAGGGAGGAGGACAGTCGAGAAGCATACATTAAATTCGTATTTTATGCGAATAACGCACGTAGGAAATTGTTACAAAGGAAATTAGCGATGATGTTAAATCTGCAAAACTAGGATAAAAATCGAGTTCATAATTGAGGAATGATCTTGGAAAATATCATAAATTTGTAATTATAATTATAGAGGCATAGAGTTTCTATTATATAAGGCATGAAAAACTTACCTGGCAAAAAGAATTTAAAAAATTCAAATGAATTTCTATACAGAAACGTGTATTATATTATAATGTGTTTAAAGTCTCCCGAGATATGCAATTAAAGTGAATATTTCACGGAATTGGCATAAATCTACTGTCATCCATATACTCATCCATTTGCTCGAAAAATCATTATTTGTGGATCACGATCATTCCTCAATTCGCGAAGTCCATTTTGGATATTCTAATGTTTGAATCGGATATAAATTTACGCTCGATATTCTCGAATTCTTCAATTCGGATCTTCGAGAGTTTCGAGATTTTTCGGAAGACCTGCACAAGAATTTTCCAAGTCTTGCACTTCGAAGTTACACGGTTACCCATCTCGAAATTTTTCACAATTTCCGGCGTTTTCTCGTCTATTCCGATAAAACAAATCTTTAAAAGACTTCCTCCTAATTCTTTTAAAACATCTTTTGGACTTGTGCGTTGTTCCGGGAAATGATTCATACAGTTCCTGTTTAATTTTTTTTTCTTATTTTTTATTCAGGCTCAATCGCCTTTATCATTTTTTATTCAGACAACGCAAATCTCTGTTCCAATTCTTGAACGTTGTTTCCGAAAGATGGGCAGATTCATTCCTTACTTTCTGAGCTCCCATCACGATTCCATCCCCATTTTCTTAATTTTAATCCTATTATCCAGTCCAGTGATTCTTCTTTACTCTTCCGCCGTCTCGTTCGTAGCAGTTGCTCCAATGCCCCACGAACGAGCGTTGTTCATCATGGTGGTCAATTCCGTCGATTGCGGAGACCATCAGGAGCATCGCGTGGCCACTTCCGGTTTTGCGTCAAATTTAATTCCCTTTTCTTTAACTAAGCTCCCATTTATACTCTTCGCCGCGATCAGATCTTATTCTTTCTACTCGACCCCTTGATTATGAGGTGTGTTAAGACATTGAAGAATTTTAGGATCACACGCTTCTACTATCGGCAAGGAGAGAGAATGAAAAAAGAAAAAAAGAATGTGCGCGAGAGAAACATACTAATTCGGAGTAGCTAGTGTTGCGAGAATCGGGATGACTAATTGAGCACGCATTTAAGTGCCTCAAAGTATGCTGTATATTATTGATTATCGATTACCACTATTATAATATTAATTAGTACTATTGATTGCTCTATTATATATTATTATCTCATCATTATTTTATTATTATTATTATTATTATTATTATAAGCAGGAGCTTTTGGCTTTAGGTGTTATGATGATGCATATGTACCTACACACATAAAAACACATATACATTGTATTGAGAGCAAATAAAACGAGAGAAAAAGTATGAAAGAGAGAGAGAGAGAGAGAGAGAGAGAGAAAAAAAAGATCGTTGCTCATAGGAGATTGATTCTTCGTCTTTTTTTGTTTTCGTATATTTTTTATTACATTTACGAATGCGATGGAAAAGATAAGAAAAGAAAGACGAGAAATCGATGTCTTGCGAACAGGATAATGTATCGATGTGTATACTGCTATATTTTGAACTTATGATGCTGCCGTTTCATTTATCTATTGATACATACACATACACATAGGGCGTTTCAAAATAGGATTGTCAGCTATTTCTGTTAATATATTGAGTTAAATAAATCAAATAAACGACATGTCGGACAAATAGACTCTCAGAGAATCGTATATCGCGCTGGAAAGACTTTCCTTCTGGATTCTTGCGATTTTTCATGGAATGCGAACTTGATTCTGCACATTAAACATCTTGAATATTGAGATTAACTTACTTGAGAATTTTTTCGTAATTTTTATTTTTATATGTTAAAAAACTCGAGTTTTATCTTAAAAAAATTGAGATACAATTCACAAATGATGATTGTGAAAGAGCTAAGAGAAATCCTAACATTTTTCACTTTCGTAATGTAATGTATAAGAATTGTGGAATTCTTGATTCAATAATTTCAACATGTTTCATCGTATGAGAATCGCACAAGAAATGTTCCTAAATCGTAAGGAACCGGGGAAGATGCCGGGAAGATTGTTCGCGCGTGATTCTCTGGAAATGATATACTTGACATATTGTAATTCTCGTTCGCTGCGTTTCTCTGCGAGAGAGATATCCCAGTTGGTAGTTTCCGATGAAGCTTCCCCGTACATTCAAGTACAGCGGATGTGTCCGGGATGCCGGAGAATGATTGATCGTCGATCGGATCGGAAGCGCCGGATTTAGGGCGGTGTAGATCTTTTCAATTCGCACATGCGGTGCTCCAGAGGCGAGTCCTACAGCGCGTTTCGTTAATAATATAATATACGAGGCGATACATATACACACACGCACACACAGATCTATATATACATATATATATATATTTTTTTTTGTGAACCGCGCGCGGTTCTCTCTATTCGAGATGCGCGGTTTCGCATCGCCGCCGCTCTCCAACGATGTAGTAAAAATATTCAATGTATATATATATTATATACGCGTATGTATACTACTATACGCATACACACACACACACACATATACACATGCGGAATAGGCTAAGTATTAATTATAGTACATACGTTGATGTATGTGTGCGTAATGTAATTCGCGATTCTACGATTCGCGATTCTATATTGCGATTTGTAACTCTCGTATCGCGGATTCATAAGAAAAAAAAAAATAAGAAAAAAAGAAAAACAAGCGATTCACATAATCGCGCGCCTTGTCACATATACGCAAGCGACTCTTAACGATTCATCAAACGACTCCCCCCCGTTCCCCTTTTCTTTGTTAGATTTTCTTTTCTTGGATTAACATTTGGGTTCTTTGGTGTTCCTTTTTTCGTTTATCCTTTTCCTTTTAATGCGACTCGTTTGTTGTTTTTTGATCGCACACACGTGGAAGTCAAAAGTGCGATGTAATAGTATTCTGTTAACGAAAATTAGACGGAGGGATATATTAACGCTGTAGATACTAATCGTGAGAGAAAAATAAATGATGCGGCGGATAAAAAGAGATATTGGTCCGCGTGATTAACGGCGTTGTTTTTTTTTTTTAGCGATGAATTCTAGGCGAGTTAGAATAGAAAAAAAAAAGGAAGGAGAATTAGTAAGATATTGCGAAAGTACTTTGCTCGTTAATTTAATAAGCGTATTACGGCTAATCGAGTGCTATTTATGTGATTTTTATAGATCCACGCCGATCAATTTTGGTTCTATAGTAGACTGAGCTTTTAGATCCCCTTTCCCTCCCCTCAGGTCGTTGCCCGAGATCGGATTTTAGGTAACGTTCGAAAATTTTTGATAATCGGTGTCGCATAAAATAATGAGGGTTTTTCAAAGATTGCACCGCGTGAGAATAATGTGAAATAAAACGCGACGCGGACTCCGATCTCGCGAAATTGTCCGTTGCGATCGAGAGTACGTCGCGGCGGATTCTCTCTGGCGATATTGTGTTGATTAAGTAACCGAAAATAAAGAACACACACAATAGCAACGTTTCGTTAACGCATCAGGATAAGCTGTGATTATATAAAAAGAAAAATGAAGAAAACAGAGAACCGAGCAAGAGAGCAGGACGCAACAGGATGTGTATTCCTAGAAAGTCTGATTTTGTAAACTACTTCTACGAGGAAAACACTTGTGTATTATATATATATGATATGCGATATATATGATATGATATACGATATGATCTATGACGTTTGTTTATTACTATGTAAAGTAACAGATTTCGAAATTAAACATTAATTACTGTTAATCACTGCGTCTTGAATCTCCTATTTCAATGCGAACTATTACGGGGATTGTCGGAAAGATGAGCGGGAAAGTGTGCTGGAATGGTCGCGTACGTGCACAGATTGGATTGAGTTTTATAGAAAACGTGAAAAAAGTCACATACTCCCTTTACTCTTTAGAATCTCCCATGTCTATATCGTTGATATTTAAACAAAATATTTTACATGTTTAACTTACAGCTAGTGTGATAAAAAAATAAGTTAACATTTATTAAAACAATATTATACATTTACCTCTAACAACAACCTTATGATTTCTCTTGCGAGTTGCGAGTTAGTAAACGTTTGGCGAAACATTCGCGGATAAATTTAATATCCGATTTTCTCACAATTGTACGTGCTATGGGGAGTTTATTTCTTGCGGAAAATATTCGGCATGCTAGGCGATACGGTTTTCTGTTGAAAGATTTTGCTCATCCTTTGTCGCATATCCTCGACGCCCTGACCCATGTTCATTGTCGCCATGGATAGGGAGAGTCCGGAACTTGTCGAGAGTGTCCTAAAGCGAAAATAATAATTGCAAATATTTTTCTTTACTTAATATAAAGAAAATTTATATAGAATAGACATATAATGTTTTCAGAAAAATATCCAAGAATTTTCACAAAGAAAAAATTCAAGAATTTATAAATCCTAAATCTTATTGGATTATTTGTTACAACTATAGATTATAATTATAATAAAATATAATTTCTCTGGTGCTTTTTTATATACTATAAATATCTACAGTATGTTTTTCATGATTATCTTATGATTTAATTTATTACAATGATTAAGATATTTGATATATGATACATAATTATTTTTATGTATTGTACAATACCTCTCTATTGGTTTTGACAAGTCCTGTTTGGATTCCGCTTCCCTAAGCAACGAACGTACCGCATCCTTTTGCTGAGGCAGGCATTGATTCACCAGCGTCTCGAGATGCCTCAGTCCAGGCAGCACTATTCCGGAAACGCATTGACTACTTAAGGGACAATAGACCAGCACTGAGTACGCTTCTACCAGTGCGTTTACTAATTCGATCTTGCGGCTGTGTTGAAGCGCGAATGAAGCAATCGTCGATAATTGCGTCGCTATTACTGCAATTGACGACAATGATACAATGATACGTATAACACAGAATAATACTGATAAAAATAATGCATATAGAGAGATGTAAGAACATTAATTAATAATTTTTTTAAATCAAATTAAGGATTACGAGAATTCCGCCACTCGCTGCTTATTCGAAAAAAATATTTGTTTTTCGGATTATACAAATAGAAAGAGAGGTAGATATTACAGAATAACTTACTGTCCTCTATATAATTTTGTGGACAAGTGGGGGCGATAAAAGCGAATGTGGACACTAATGAAGTCGCCAGAGTTTGTGAGAGTTCTTGAGGATCTTTTGCGATTGTTTCCAATGTTAGTCGAGCTTTATCGCGTGCTTCCCTCACCTTGCACTCTGTTATTATACGGCCCAATGAGGAGATTGCGGCGCATCGTACGTCACTGAAAGAATTTGTTTCATTACGCTTGCATTTGTATAATGTTTGAACATTGTTAAATAAATAGATACATAATAGCTTGTAATTTATAAATATTTAAGAATATCAGAGCGAATAAGGTTTTAAGAAACTAATAATGGTAAACAGCCAAGAACTTGAGATACATGCATGCATAGGTAGAGAAGAATCTCTCACACTTCAGGATCGCTGGCGAGCGTTACGATGGCTGGCACGATCTTGGCGTTTGCCAGCCGATCCGAGACGTGTGCGATAGCGGAACCGAATAATATTGCCGTTGCACATCTTACAGTTGATCTCTGATGCACCACACCTGCAAAGAAGAAGAAACTATACGAGTTTGATCTACGATTCAGAAATATTCTCCGCAGAAAATTATAATAAAAATATACATTTTTTTTTTAATTTTAAGAAATCAAAATGTTATATGTGTGTATATGTTCATCTTTAACTTAATTTTAAAAATTTTAAGAAATATATTTTAATAAAATAATTGTGTGTGTAGCTTGATAATAAAAAGAAATAAGTATTTTTTAAACTTATAATTATATTTTTTTTAATTTTCATATTACTTGAATATTATTTCTTTCACAAGCTAATAAATTAGTAATATGAAAAAAAGATATCTGACACAAACCATCCCATAAACTAGCAAGCACATATTCTTGTATTTGTTCTCGAGTATATAGTATGCTCGCGGCGATTTGCAGCCAAGATATGCTTGTGCCGCTCATAGATAAGACCACAAGAAACTGTTTGAAGTAATTTGCAAATTCTGTAGGATCGAAAGTGCTCAGGATCACCAAGTAACTAGGGATCAATGTGAGATTCATATTCTTCTTATCTGTCGATAGTGTTGTCAATAACTTCTCGAGTTCTGTCACCTCTGGGAAAAACACTGTTTGTATCTGAAATAGTATTTATTTATAAATTTATCTTCTAAATATGTTAATATATAATATATTAACCTAAAATTTAGAAAATTAAATATCTTTATAAGAAAAATATTCAAGAACTGTGAAATTTTAAAATCTAATGTGAGATCTTTCAACGACATTTTTGTCTAGACATAGAATCTTATATTTACCCTGGATTGTGTGACATATTTCCCAAAGCCCACGCATAATGAGTGAATGTACATAAGAAGTGTCTTCAAAACGTTCTCATGTGCTGCGTCCACAGATTTCACCATTTCCAAGACATCAAATACTCTGCAAAAAAGGAAAAAAGTATTCTCTGGGATTAATATCTCTCTTGAAATGTGAATAATCAAACTCATTCAAAAACTTGTATTCAATATTTATTATTTATTATCGTAAAATTTATTTTAATATTCATAAAAAATGATTGGATAATATATTGCCAAAATTACATTTTTATGTGAGATTTTTTTTCATCATTATTTTATAATAATGAAATAATATTCACATACAGTTTTTTCGTAAACCATTCCAACTCTGGCCAGGATGCATCCTCCCAGGATTTGGAGAAGAAGGTATTGAGAAGAACACCGACGTCTATGGGACCCTCGTAGAATATTCTCGGATCGATGATGTTGGAATGACACAAGACCAGAAATTCCTCGGCTGCACCACAAAGTTTCTAGAAAACTTTTGTGCTTTTGTTTTTGTGCGAGTTTATAAGCTTTATACAAAATCTCTAACACGAATTTCGGCACTAAGATTTCTCGGATTTTTGAATCTCTTTGGATCTTAAAATCCTGGGAACTTCTCCATTTCAATATTTAACTTGAATTTTTAATATTTTACTCAAATCAATCTAAATTTTTTGAAATTTCTAAATCTTTCATTTTTATTTTTACACAATCTTCAAATTATTAAATTTTTAACTCTTAAATCTTCAAATGTGACAGATTTTTATACTCCAAGATCTTTAAATTATTTATTACTTACATTCTCCTATATAATAATTTAAATATAGATTTAAATATAGATTTTTATATATTTGTCATTATAGATTCTTATTCAATTTCCTTTAACAACTCACACAAGTCCGGCGACGTTCCATCTTCGACGCAGACTCGCACTGCGTTGGTATCAGCGACGCACAGGACTGTATATGGCAAGAGACATTGTAGGATACCGATCGACGGCACCAACTTGTCCTCGTCGACGTAGTCCTTATTCGGCGAAGTCTGCGAATGTGTTGGCTTCAACTGATTCTTCACTTTCGAGATTATACGCGGCAGCAAATTTACATGCAGCCTCTTCAAAGATAATGCCCATTGTGCCAGAACCGGTAACAATACTGATGATGCCGTTTCAACGACCATCGACGAGGTGTCGTGAAGCGCCGTTAAGGCCAATTCCTCACACTGTAATGTACGTCAATTTATATATAGTGATAGATCTATAATATATGAATGTATATATTATATATTCACGATAATAATAAATATAAAAATAATATAAAAATATATTAAAATGAAATAATACCTACTTGGAAATATTTGTCAGGATCATCCATTAAAGCTATAAGTAGTGCAAGGGTTTTCACAACACTAGTTCGAACAACAGGATCCTTATCTTCCAGTAACATCTGTTGCAACATTGACAGCATCAGCGAGTTCCTGATGGAAGCCGATGTGTAGGATGCCAGCACAGAGCAACATTCAACGGCTAATAATCTTCTCTCAGGATACTTGTGTTGACTTTGCTCCCAACAGATTGTTAAAATTTCTTCGCCTTCCAGTGGCTCTTCCGCAAGTTTTGCCATTATGGTTAAGCCTAATGTCACAAAAAATGAAGAAAAACTCAGCGATTGATTAGTTTTTAGTAATCAGGATTTTAAATTTCTAAATCGTGTAAATGTTGTTGAAACATACATATATATATTAACATATATATATA